AAGTGCTTTAGCCACTATGCTACCAGAGCAGGACAAATAGGAGTGCATAAATATGAGGAGCACAGGGAGAGGGTTACAGGGTAGGGAGGGTTAGAGACTGGGTTAGGGTTGGACATGGCGAATGGGGAATGAAACTAAATGTACACGTAACGTTGAATGTAAAACAAGCTCTTAAAATAAAAAAAAATAATAAATTCTTTCTATTGTAATAGATTTTCTCAAAGTCACACTAGCTCCTTCATGGTGGTCCACACTATTTCTAAATGATTTATTTACAGTGGTTAAAGAAAATTTCTGCACAAACTCTCCAGAAATATTAGACATTTAAAATTATCAAGTAAATGCCAATGAAGAAATAAGTGTTTTTGGACTTGTGCTAGCTGTTCTCAAAGAACAGCAGTGATATGCATTGTACAGACTGAGCACTAGGGATTTTTAAGACATTCATTATATGCCAATCTTTGTAAGTTACATGTAATAAATTCAAACATGTTTAAAAGCAAATAAATATGGACAAAAGAAAAAAAAAACCCTATGGATCGTAACAGAATATTGTCCCATTTGGTGCTAGAAGAGCTCTGGTGGTGTAATGCCTAGGCATTTGACTGCTAACCAGAAGGCTGGTGGTTCAAACCCACCAGCCACTCCTCAGAAGGAAGGTTGGACAACCTACTGCTGTAGTGATACTGCCTCAGAAACCCAAGGAGGGGTCGCTATGAGTCAGGTCCGACTTGATGACACAAAATAACACAACAACAACTGTGTTGGAAGATGAGCCCCCTACACTGGAAGGCACTGAAAATACACAGTTGTTGTTGTTGTTATGTGTTGTCTAGTGGGCTCCAACTCATAGTGACCCCTCCTTGGGTTTCTGAGGCTGTATCACTATGGAAGTAGATTGCCCAACCTTTCTTCCGAGGAGTGGCTGTTGGGTTTGAACCGCCAGCCTTCTGGTTAGCAATTAAGTGCTTTAGGCACTACGCTACAGAGCTCCCAAAAATACACAGTGGTAGCCACAATGAGCGCCAGTATAACAATGACCATGGATATGGCCTAAGATGAGGCAACATTTTGTTCTGTTGTACATGGGGTCACCATGAATCGGAGCAAGTTGAATGGTAACTTACAACAACAGCCTCCTAATAGGTCTCCCTGCATTCACTCTTGACCTTATGTATAGTTTATTTTCAACACAACAGCCCAAGTGAGCCTTTTTAAAATGTAAGTTTGACCATGTCCCTCCCCTGCTAAACACTCCAGTGATTCCATCTCACTCAGAGTAAGATCCAAAATCTTTACTGTGGCTCACAAGGTCCTATGTGGTCAGTTCTTCTTACTTCTGTAATCTCAACTTCTATTATTATTTTTTCTTCCTCATCTGCTTCACTGGCCTCCTTGCTGGTCTTTGAGGAAGTCATGGTATCCTGCAGCAGGACCCCCCCCCACCCCACACACCTATGCTGGAGACACCCTTCCTCCAGGTCAAGGAAGGCCTTGCCTAAGTAACCTATTTAAAATCACAGCTGGCACTGCTGTTCCCAGCACTCCCTATTCTTCCTTTCCTGATTTTGTTGCGCTCTGGTAGCATAGTGCCTAAGGCACTTGACTGCTAACCAGAAGGCGGCTGGTGGTTCAAACCAACCAGCCACTCCTTGGAAGGAAGATGGGGCAATCTACTTCCGTAGTGATACTGCCTCGGAAACCCAAAGAGGGGTCGCTATGAGTCAGTTCTGACTCGACGGCACATAACAACAACAACAACAACAACAACTGTTGCATTAATTATTGTTAGTTGCCATTGAGTTGGTCTCAACTCACAATAGCCCCATGTGGGCAGAGTAGAACTGCTTCATACAGTTTTCAAGGCTGTGGCCTTTTGGAAACAGATCACCAGGCCTGTCTTCTGAGGACCCTCTGGATAGGTTTGAACGACAAACCTTTGGGCTAGCATTTAACCATTTACACCACCCAGGTACTCCTGTAGCATTAGTAGCTCTGGTGGCACAGTGCCTAAAGTATTTGACTGCTAACCAGAAGGCTGGCGGTTTAAACCCACTAGCCACTCTGTAGAAGGAAGATTGGATGTTTTAATTCCATAAAGATTTACCTCCTTGGAAACCCA